CGGGAATGAATTTCCAATGAACGCGGCTTACACCCGGAAACTTCGAACACTTCTCGTAATATTGTAGGATTTTCAATGTGCGTACTGTGTAAGAGAGGTGTAATAAGCAATACTATCTGGGTTTTAATACACTTTTAATACTTCTTGACTCTTCCCACGCTTGTCTCAGATCACCCCTTTTTCGCTGCCTTGGCGCATCTTATTTTATTCCCAATTACTCTATCTTCCTCTTGCATTCACCCTCTCGCTCACACAGTCTTTAACATTCGATCCCTAAAACACTCTTCATTCGTACCTCGATCTTTCAAGCTGTCACCCGGTCCTAAACATTCTTCCCAGTCACTCGATCCCTATCGCTCGGTCATAAACACTTTTCATTTGCACCCTAATCTCTCGCATACACTCCTATTGCTTGGTTATAAACATTCTTCATTCACACCTTAATCTCTCGCATACTCTACAATAGTATTATAGTAACAACAACAACAACGATAATAGCAGTATCGCCTACAACAATACATAACCAACAACGGCATCGCGAATTGGCATTGGCGAGAGATGGCGTGTCGCATAATCGAGTCATCGTAGACCGAAAGACCATAAATGTGCACAGTTGAACCGAAGGGGCCGCGTAAGTAGAGTTAAAGCCGGCGACAAACGTGGACATGGTCGTACATAGGTGAGAGGCGCTCGTCCGATCCGATCCGATCCGTTCCGTTCCGTTCCGTTCCGTTCCGTTCGTCGTCCTTCCTCGGCCGGCTCGCGGTTCTCCGTCCGTGTGTGTCCCCCGTCGGTAGGTTGCTGGGTAATTAGATTTGTACGCGCGGGCCGAGCCGGCCGGCCGGATCGTCGCCGAGAAAAGGACGAGGGAGAAGAGGTGGCGAGAGAGTGCGCAAGACACACTGGTTACTCATGCCGCTGGAATGTAGTTCACATTGTTTATATACCGCCGCCTACGTGCAGCATGCGCGTCGCACTTCGCCGAACGATAAAACCAGTCGCCGGCGCTCCCGTCGCGGCGTCCGGTCCTTTCATCCCTGCCGATCGTCCTCTCCCGAAGACCCTGGCCCCCATCTTTCGGGCGGAGCTAGTATATACCTTTAACATTTCACGACGAGTACCATCGTATTGCATGAAACTGTCGTAGCTGCGATGGAAAGCTGCGAATACGTTATTCAGTTATATTCAGGCGACCGAAAATCGGAGAATTTTCTTCTTCTTTAACACGTTCACTGCCACGGTGGTCACTGGTGACCGGAGCTTCCAAATTGCTTGAAAACAATTATAATAAGGAAATTGCCATTGAATAAAAATATTCAGAAACATAAGAAGCTAGATAATAGTGTAATATGGGCGCTGTAATACCAAAACGTTAAAACTAGAACTACCGAACGGTTCGAAATGACTCATCCCAGGTTTCTTCTTTTCGCGATTATTAAAAAGTAGCAGATGCCTCTCTGGGAGTTATTAAAGAAATTGATTTGGCAATATGCAAATTGAATCATGAGTCAATTAAAGTCTCAATAGATGCACTCTTGAAGTTTGTACAGAGAAGTTTCGAAAAGTCAATTTCAGTGCTCGGTAGTTCTAGTGTTAATAATTATTTCTAGTACTATTTTCCTGGATTATAAAGGAATAAATCTTGCTATAATGATACACTCGAAATTCTCGTGGCAGTCAACGTGTTAACCCTTTGCGGACGAAGACTCTTTAACCCTAATCGTACCACGTGTTTTTATAGCGAATCATACGACAATGTAACTCTCAGTCACTTATGAGAATAAAAGGAATGATTAAAATGTTATTGTTTTTGTTTATAGGGTTTAAAGTTTGAAAGCCCAAGAAAACTTTGGAAATGCAATATGAAATAATCAAAAAATTTAAGTAAATTTTGAATTCCAAAATAGAGGAGGAAGAATTCCGTGCTCACCTGTAACCACATTCGCTTCGAACCGTAACTGATAACGGAACAAGTAATGTTCAGTCTTAACCAGTGACTTGTCTCGTCCACGATTCTCAATATCAATTTACCAATTTGCCTCTCGTTTCCGTAAATCCCATAAATTCCTCGGAAATCCTGCTCGTCACGGGGATCTTCCCAAAATGAATGGCGAAGGGGATGCATTTTGAACGTTCGCGATCATCGTCCATCGAGTTCCGAGAGGGACGAATAGAGAAAGATCTCGAACGCAGCGGGCAGAGGAAGAGGGAAGGAGCAGCCGGTGATAGGGAAAAAAGGAGAGTGAGAGCGAACAGAGGGCGAGGGAGGAGGTGGTTGCACGAGGGGCAGGGACGTCGGGAAGGGAGACCGGCTCTTATAATGGCGCGGCAGTTATACCGGTAAGCGAGTAAATGCATCAAGCGTGGCTTTCTGCGAGGCCGAAGAGAGCCGGCCAAGAAAGAGAAATAGACAACCGCGGCTACGAGAGTTAGGTGTATGCACGTGGAAAAGAACGGGCTAAATGGGAGGTTGGTCGCGTTGGACGAGCGGGGGGAACGGGGGTGGACAGGCAGGACCGAGAAAAAGGGACAGGAGCGAGGCTCCTCGGGGTGTGGGCGGATTGCACGCGTCTCTCGGTAATGGATCCCATCGATCATCCCTCCGCGGCCGGAGAGATGGTTTCTCCTCGTTTCCGCCCTCCTCGTGGATCGTCCATTAGTCAATTTCGTCGATTACCAACGGCGACTTCGTCGAATCACCGTACGGCCCCAAAAATAGCTTATCTGTCGGCATTGAGAACACGGATAACGACGGCTGCTCGAGTGGACTACGGCCGAATCCGTGAAAACGGATTTCCAAAATGGGCGTGTTACGCGAAAATTCAGTTTTCGTCGGGAGTTTTGTATAAGGCTAGGATCGGTTGGTTGGCTTTGTCGATCGTGGCTGCACGAAACGGTGGGCGATGTCGGAAATAGTTTGGGATGTATGATAATCGATGATGCACGGGGGGATACACAATGGAAATGTCAGGTGTACTTCAGAAATTTATTACTGCCACGTGGAATTACCATCGAGATCTAATACCGTTCGAACTTTCCTGGGAACTGAATCGTGTAAATCTTGAGCGCGGCTTAATAAGATGTACCGTTCCTCGCGCGGGAATTGTTCGACTGCTTCGCGGCTGCCGAAGATTCAGTTTCAGAGCGATACGGGGGAACTCGAAACCGATTCTCCGTTTGTGAATAAATAAGTATACTCCGTCAAGAATCGGACGCATCAGTCCAATAGAGTTTAACATTGGAACTACCGAATCGATCGAAGTGATCCCAAGTCTCCACGTTCGAAGAACAGGTGCTTCTCTAGCGAGCCATTAACTAAATTAATTTCCGAACGCGCGTTATGAAGTATAAGTTCACCGAAACCTTATCAAACGCGGAAGATTCGAACCAGTGAATTTAGCTTCTTGGTGGTTCTATCGGTCAGCGCTGAAAGTCCCATCAGAGATGCGCTGTCCCGATACCGGCCGGCGTCCGATTTTTTGGAGGACTTATTGCCCGGTGGATTTATGAGCGGCTGGCCGGTCCGTCCGTTCCTCCATCCACGCGACCGCTTCTTGTTCCGCGGAGATGAAAATGGAGTAACGCCGGGAGCGATTCTGTGATTTACCGTGAACCGAGCGTCGCGAGGGGATTCAGCACACGTATATCGTGAACCGTGACGCAGCCGACCCAGGCCAGGCCATTCCTCGCGGCTGGATTCTCTGGAAACGCCACTGTGATTTGTGCGACCGGTTACCGTTTCCATTAGCATACTTCCTATCGGCTCTTTCGTACATTGTTATCTTCGTCACTCCTTCGCCCCGCCGCGTCTTCCCATGGTAACGTTGAACCGAAAATCCGGTAGTCCGTTCCTCCGTTCGCCGATTCGATTACCGGGTACCGATATTCGGTTATCGGCGCCGATTATTCCGCGCGAGATTTGTTCCTCGTTCATTCACCCTTGCCCTCTTTCGACCGTTCATTGTTTCCGGTACGATAACGAATATTTTGTTGTTTTCAAAAGTTTTATCGTCTTCCATCGTTCTCCCTCTGAAATTAGAGGCGACTTTCTTCTTTAACTTCTCAGCACGTTAAGTGTCGCGAAAATCTTGACCATCTTTCTGTACAGTTATCCTTTTTAGCAAATAAAAGTGGCAACAATTGTTCACTATTTGGCGTTACAATCTTCGCATTACACTATTATCAACTTGGTTCCGTTATTAAACATTTTGATTCTACATCGATTATCTTGCATGTTACGATTGTTTTCACGCAATTCAAAAGCGTCGGTCATCGATGACTGACATGGTATGTAACTGTGGAATTTTGTTTCAAAAATCTCTCATTTCGCACGCGATAAAATCAAAAAGTGAAGCCTGCACTCGTCAAACGTCGATTGCATCTAGGGAATACTTCAATGAGAAGTGAAAGCGAAACAAAGAAGAGTTACATGTTTATCTGAGAAAATAAAGAATTCATCGTTGACAGAAATAGTATCATTTCAAGCTTTCAGGTGACGTTATACTCATCAAACGCACTTAATTGATTAAACAAGTCTCCGATCTACCACTAATTATTTCCGTTTTATTTATTTATTGAATAAGTACTATTATGTAAAAATGCTTGTGCAACAAGGCACGAACAAGAAACAACAATACAGTCGAACCTCGATAACTCGGAACTCTACAGCTACTTGCTGCGCGTTTAAAATCATTCTATCATTGTATATTTATAATTGTTACCTATATCTCAAAGTTCTGTCACCGTCGTTTTAACAGATTTGTGCGGCGGTCTCCCAAGTTCTGCTTCGAGTGAAACTTCTTTTACTACAAGACTCGATCGCATGAAATCCGTACTGCCCAAAGATCTTTTGCCTCCCCCGCGATTCGATTTGCCGAGATTCGACTATGATAAAGAGAAGAGGAAGGAGAGCTGCGCAGTACGTGGAAACAGTATTAAGATAAGTCGTTTTCTTTTTTCCGTTTGATTGCAGTGAGGACGCTGTGCGTAGCGGCGACGAAATGAAGCATGCAGCATGCGTGGTAGCGGTGTCACGGCTGCGCGGTCCTGCCTTCAACCCCTGGTGTCCGCCAGCCGCTACCTCGCCGTTCAAGCCCTTCCCGGTGATCCTCTTTACTTCGTCGTCGAGGTGAGCACCGTCGCCGGTCACATTATTAACTTTTTTAATGGCGGGCGAATAATTCATGACGACAATGCATATTCACGATACGCATTACACATAACAGTCCACGGTATCGTTCCGTTATACATGGTAATCCCGAGTCATGTATTTTCCATGGGGTTCGGTATTATCCTTTAATGAGATACGTAACGTTACCGTCGGCGGAGGCTTATGGAAATTCGCGAACCAACGCTGATTTTTTCCCCGTTCGCACGAGAAATCGACGAGCATCGCGCGTTTCAGATGCTTGAAGACACTGTTCGTGTACACACGGTTGTTTCAATGTCGCGTATGATTTAGTTTATCCCGTGTCAACGCTACTTTGATCGAATCGACGCAAAACCGTATATACTCGTGCTCCCTAAATGAATCAACGGACAAATGTGCTAATACATCAGATTACTGGTTGTTACATTCACGGTTGAATAGATTGATGTCCGGTTAGAGATTCGTGTAACATAATTCGAACCTCAAAGGATCAAACGCTGTGAAGGATTATTTGTAACAATTATTCCGAGTTTCGCGTTGTGTTTCGGGGAACGTGTACATTCGACGAACTCAAAAACCAGGAACGACATATGTTTTTCGCGCGAGTTTCTTCGTTTTTGTCTAAATTCCGCCGCGTTGTTTCCTCCGATTTTTCGGGAATCGAAAGCAAGCCACGGGAGAAAAAGGAAAGAACATTGCACCGCGGCGCCTCGTCGAGATTATTTAGGCTTGGGCATCTAAGCCCACCGGTTCCGAGAGCACGAGCACGATTATAAAAACGAACGGGACACGAGGATTAACGATAGAATAAAAGAAAAGAAAATCGTTCCATGGATCGTGGCCACGCGCTTCCTCCGATAGACCGCCTCCGTGACTACCGGGCATGAAAAGAAAACGACGACCCGGTTTTTAACATTTTGTCGGTCGTACGTTTAACAGTAGAATTCCCAGATGGGTCAAAGCTTCGATTCCAGATCGTTTAGAACGAACATTGTGACCTCTCGGAATCGTATATTGAGTCTGACGTGCATCTGAAACGTTTCCTACACGCACACAGGAAAACTGGAAATTCCCACAAGCATAAAATTAAAATGACTTCTCAGCAATGTCGTTATATCACAGACAATTCCAAGGAAAATCGCTGAAAACGTAGGAAGGAAATCAAACCACGTCTCGAAAGCTTCGAAAAAATGTTTCGGCGTGTCGCGAATCTCGAGGGATGAGCGCAGGAACCCACGCGCGCGCGCGCGTTTCACTGTGTATGTGCATGCTCGCGAAATGCCAAGGGTTTTATCGGTACGTGTGCATCGCGCTGCGACGTGTGGAAGAAAGAGAGGCAGAGAGAAAGAAGGGAGGGTTAGGCACGCCCGGATTTTCTAATCGTGGAATGCGATTAGTTACATCCTCGGCGTGGGCGTGCGAGAACGGAATAACCGATGCGGGGAGAAACTCTCCGCGTATATGGTATATACCAGTCGATATATTAAGGCGTGCGAAGGTACATGCACCTGCCTTGTCCGCGGCAACGGTCATTTACAACCTGCGAGCGTGCACGAACCGCCGGGTACTAGAATGGTTAATTGAAAAGGAAAAAATTCCGCGCCCCTCGCTCCGTCCCTCCCCCGCCAATGCATGTGTGCACGGGGTACATTGTAGCGAGCGAGCGAGCGAGCGAGCGAGTGTGCGTTTCTTCCTCGCGCGCTGGAATTCCTGCGGAGCCTCGCGGATTCTCGCGGAAACCGAATACGACCGGGAACGCTGATACGCCGTTTCTCACCAGGGAAAAGTGGGAAAACGCTTAGCCCCCTGCGATCCGAAGAATTCTCGGTTTTTCGCCGCGGTGCTAAGAACATTCGTCGATGATTGCATCGATTTGACGCAGCTTCCTGTGTAGATTTAGAAACGAATTTCGTAGCTGACGTGCCGGAGACAGCTGATGGATTTACGCGGTAGCAGAGAGCTAAGGTAGCAATCGCTGTAATGTATCTTCGGTTTGCAGCGGTGTGTTATTGATCGAGGCCGGTTTAAGGTTCAAACGTATCTAACGATTTGGTAATTTTGTGATTTATCGAGCTAGTTTCAAGCGGGATTGTTAAATTACTAGATCGGTGCTCAAGGAAATCGCTGGTCACGTGTAAACGTCGTTTAACGCTAGAACTGAATAAGTCTAAGTGACTGATTCCTAGATTCTTCTTCTATAGTTATTGAGGAGACAAATAGTTTTTTAAGAGACGATTAAAACAGCTGATTAGGCGAATTAAAATGTACGTTGATCGATATCTTAACGAATGCACTTGTATGGTTCGTAGAAACGAACGAAGGTCGATTTAACTGCTCGGTAGTTCTAGTGCGATGGTTTACGATACGGCACCGTGGTTCAGCGATAAGTCCAGGATTCTCTCGGACGCGGTTTACAGTTTCAATGTCAAGGTTCCCGCAACGCGACGTCGATTTCGCTCGGTTCGAGGCTATTGCCTCCTCGCGTCGTTAGACAGACCATCCTCTCGCGCGGCCCGAACGCAAGGCGCAGCGGCGTGGCGCGCCGCACCATTCTCACACGATACCATCTCCCTAATTATAGCCGGGCTCATTTGTAACCGCGAAACTGAATTCCCGGTTGCCAAGGAAATTCCTCGTTCTGCCTGCGTGGTCCCGCATGCGTTGCCCTGCTATGAAATCACGGCCGTCCGAAGAGCCTAGCCTCGTTATGCCGATCGGCTGGAAGCGTTGCCTTATATAACGGGTGACCCGCGGCGAACGGACTGCAGCTTGGGCTCCGGTGGTTGTCGAAGCGAGGCGAACGAACGGAATCGGAGGATTCTGAATCGATATCATCGACGAGCAGCGAGAATATTCACGCATAGAATGAGTCGCCGAGAAAACTGCGGTTAAGTGCAGAACAGAGAAATTGAGAAAATTAATCCTTTGCACTCGAAAGTTTCTTGCTGGAGACATTCGACACTCTTTGATAAAATATGGATGATGTTTGTTGCGACTAATGTAACTAATCTAATCGAGAAACCAAGGGACAAAAGTATTTTTCTATCAGATTCCACATAATGATGCATTATACAAAGTTTTTGCATAATTAAGAGATTTGTATAATTTTTCGCTTCTGAAGTGATTATGTAACATATTCAGTAGCTGTAAAAAGAAGGGCTTTCTGATTTAGAAGGAACGAAGAAACGAGTAAATTCTTTAATAACTAAAAAGGATATTATTTCATTAAAATTGACAAAACACAGAAAATGTTAGAAAATGGACTTAACCGCATTGGCTTCTGACCGACTCATATACAACATGAAAAGATATAATATTCACTTATTTAACCATTTGTCTTATAACATCGTGTTAGACTCGCGATGAATATCATCGAATGAATTCGACAAATCTAAATGTTACTTCTTTATTTTTTATATGAAAGAAATATTGCTTGTCCATTATCAATCTTGGAGCTCTAAAATCAACGTAGACACGGAATAACCTTCGAATTTTTGTGTTTTTCTATGAAATCATTAGCGATAAAGTATCTATGTCGAGCGCAGTTGTGAAAGAAATCATAGGGGTTCATTGAATATAGACAAGTTTTCAAATAACCATTGTTTAATCGAGTGAATTATAGTAATTTGATTTGATTGGGTATCACCGGTGACCTCCAATGTGTGAGGAGATTGTCTGCCACAAGAATTCTTAGCGTTTTGTGTAATATCGCTTATTGTTTCATAACGAGGACAAATGGCGTTAAAAATAGTTGGTAATTACTTGGAATTGCAGTCTTTAAGTTACGCTAGTATCTAGTTTATTTACATCGCTGAATGTTTTCATTCTACATCACTTTGCTTTTATTGTAATTCCTTTTAAGCAATTCAGAAGCTCCGATCATCGGCGGCCACTGTGCTAGTAAAACGTGGCGCGTCACCGAGAAAATTACTTTCGAAGGCCGCGCGAGAAGTCGTGTCGGCCGAATTTGAATAGCGCGACACGACCGAAGCGTCAGGACGACCCCGGTCATTAACGCGTTAACTTTATTTGTTACTTTCTCGTCGACCGGTTCGTTGATAATTCATTGCTCCGCGCCGGTAGAATGATAATTACGCGATAATCGAATCACCGATCGGAAGGACGGTTCGGCGGGCTCTCCGTTTTCCCGTTCGACGAAAGATCCTCGTGTCTATTGTTGTTTCTCATCTGGAATTTCATGAGACAACAGTAACGCGGAAAATTGAAGATAGAAAGATATACCCATAGAACAAAGGTACAGATACACCGCGATAAAGTACACTGACACGGGTAAAAGAATCCACAGACGAGTATCGTTTAATTTGGAACAATTACATCTTGGTATCCGAACAGGAAACCGGGATTTGCAAATTTGCATACAACGATCGGTCGGTATATCAACTCGCCGGCACGCATAAATTTCCCACGGGATCTCGTCCGTGATTAATTATCCTTGGACTGCGAGTGTTAATGCGAATCCGCATTTTTCATGGACTGATTTCAGAGAGCTGGAATTCAATAGAAACTTGTTGCCGGACCGCGAATGCTTATGCAAACGCGCCGGCGCTCCTCCGCGGAATGATTTGCGAACGCAGAAATCAAATTGAATTTTACTTTCCTCATTACGGGACTTATTAGACTAGAAATAAGATCGGGCCGTACGAAGTTTTCGATCGGGGTTTCTCTTTAATTATATTTTCCACAATCGGGGGCATTATAAACACGTTAAATCCACAGTCTACTTATTATCTCGATGAGCAACTCCGCCGGGTCTGCCGGACAATTAGGTTTCCGTTAAGTTTAATTGAAACCTTTATCACCGTTTCTGTCTTTCATTGTTCTCTTTTTTCTTCGTTGCCTCCTTTCCTCTCCTTGTTTCCCTTCATTTGAACCGTGCCTGCCGCAAACACGCGGAGCGGACAGTTTAATCGTGACGACGATATTTATGCAGTTTCACGGGTTTATACGTTATACTGTATC